GGGCGGCGGGGGGGGCGGGAGCGGCCCCCGCGCCCGAGTCCGTGAGGGACGGCGGTGTCTTTCTCTTGCAGGAGTCGCTGTATTCCCTCGCTCTGAAATGCCTTATTAGCCTCTCCACGATTATCCTGCTCGGGCTCATCATCGTGTACCATGCACGGGAAATCCAGGTAACGTTTGCCCCCCGCGGGTCTGTGAGCGGTGCTGGCGTGGAGGGGGGTGCGAGGCAGTTTGGCTGAGGGCGCAGTGCCGGTAAGTACCGGGTACTTCCCGCTGGTTCGGAAAGCCAAAGTGGTGGCTGGGCGCCTGCCGAAGTTTGCTGAACGGACCCCAGCCCTGGAGAGAAACTCGGCGGGCTTACATGTGCCAGGAAGCTCTGCCTGCTAGGGACTGTTGCCTGCGGTTGTGCTATAGGATCTCTTAGCCCTGGGGTTATAACACGCTTTCTTGGTGACATACCTGCCGTCTTCTGTAGCAGATGTACAGGAATGGTCTCTTACTTCCCAGTGACTAAATTTCATGCTGTGCTTTTTCTCTCGGCAGCGAGGTTAATCATCTTCACTGTGCAAGGTATGTAATCTTCAATGCAATATACGAGCACACTCTAGGAGAATGTTTAAGAGGAGGGGGAAGACTTCTGTTCCACTTGCTTTGTTCGGTGCTGTACAGCCACTAGGAATATGATAGAGGAAAACTGTCAAGAAAGGTAGGGCGAAAGGGAGAAGGAACGCAGTGATCAAAGCTGTAGAGTGAGTCGCACAGATACGGTCACAGGTTCTGTCCGAGGGACATAGTTCTCATTTCACTTGTAATTTTTTGGACCAAGAAATTAGAATTTGGTGCTGCAGCTCGGCTGAAACATACAACAGATAGATTTCAAAGTTTTGAGGGGGAAAAATACCTTACAGATACTTCAGTGCTTTTGCTTTTTCAGATTAGTTAGCTACAAGCCGAAATGACAGCTTTCAAGGGCAAAGAAGATTTTTCCCCTGGTGCCAATCAGTTAAAAAAAAAAAATAAAAATTGTATAGTAACCTGCTTCTGTGCAAATGAATGCTGTAGTTTCAATGTGAAATGGTACCATAGTCTCCTACTTAGGTACTGTTAGAGAAGTATTACGTTACTGAAGACTCTTTGCTGAATTGGATCCTGTTGTGCAGTCCTTGCACATGCAAAACTTCTATTTCTGGCTCAGAACTCAGTTTCTCTGCATTAATATCAAAGATATTGAAAGCTGTTTAATGATATTATACTCATTAAACAAGTGTTCTGATGAAAGAGCATCTTTTTAAACTACTGGAGTAGTAATGAAGGGGTTTTATCTGTATAAAAATAAATAAGTGGTGCTGCTGCAATGTGGAAGCCACCTTCTCTGGTGTATCTTCCCACAAGTGGTGCTTGAGGCATGAAGAGCAAAGCCAGAAAAAAAATCTCTGTAAACAGTTGAATTACTTTAAATGGAAAATTTTATGCAAGATAACCAAGTAGTTGCAGGTCCCTGTATGCATCAGCTTATACCAAGTAGTTACTCCAAGATTCTGTTGGGTTTTTTTCAGGTTACAAATTTTCATTCCGTTAGGAATGTATTACGGGTCAGAAGAAAAAAATACGGTTTGTTTTTTTTTTTAAAAAAAAGTTGTAGTTCTGTTTTTTGGGTTTTTTTAATTGATATCTTTGAAGAACTTCTTGCTGTATGTGGCTACATGGAAGCAGTTACGCAATCATGTGAATGTGGTTTTCAGTGATGCCTGACAGTACAGAACCTAAGGATATCTGCCTCTGAAAGAGCAGTGCCCTATGTTTTTGTCCAAGAGACACCGAAAACTGCAGTAGTTGTGGCAGGGCCTGGAGTAAGCTGCAGCTTCAAGGGGCTCTGTCATTCATCTTGAAAATGAAAAGTAAGTTCTCTTTTTCAAGGAGTCTGTTAGAAGGAAGGGGCATAGTACGACCCTTAGCTATTAGATATCTGATAGTGTTTTAATTTAGGCACAGTCTGGTTTTGTACACACACCTGACTTAAAAAGTAAGGTGAAGAACATGCAGAGCAAAATTTATGTCCATCTATGGTCATGAATTTGTGTTACACCTGACATCTGAAAACAAGAAGTACCTTTAAAATACGTGGCTGGGGAATGTAAGGAATCTTCTCCAGGCAAAAGAAACTACCGCGCAACCCTGATAATCTAATGGTTTTTAAATAATCTTTGAAGCTGACTGTTTTCTAAAGGCACGTTTGCCTTTAATTCAAGCAAATACCCTGCTATGTGCAGTAGAATGAATCACGTCTGTAGAATCATGCCCACAGATGGTTAGTTATGTCCTGGAGGACTGTTTGCACCAGCTATTTGTCAGTCCTGTTCAAGTTTGAACATTTCTTTTTAATTCTTCTCTGAAGCGTACTTAGACTTTACCAGTGGGTATAGCGTAAATAAGCAGGAATTCATTGAGGGAATAAAAATTGTTCTATAGACTAGAAGAAGGTCAATGTATTCTGCTTGCCGTGTGGTATGTTTCATACTCTGGTGGAAGCAAACCAACCTAAACGTGAGTAGATTTTTCTACAAAGCACGAGACAAAACATGTTGGGAAATAAAAAGACGACGGTTTAGTAGTTTTTACTGATCACAGGCTTAATGTTTAGAAACTCCCAGTGACCTAAGATGCCGGCAAATGGAAATCAGCTTTTTCATTCTTTTCACTAGTCTGTGACCTTGATTTATTTGGTAGGAGGTCTGAACGGCCATGCTGCAAGCAAGTCTATGGCTGTGCCTAGCAGCATAGCAGGTGACTCTAGACTTTCCATTAAAATGACCTTGCCATCTGTTTTGCTTGGGAAACAGTCAGCCGGTCAAGTTAAACCAAACTCTAGAGCTTGCCTGTCCCAGACTGGCTGAACATTTTAGAGGAGTTGGAAGGGAACTTTATGGCAAAGATTTTTAGGGATTCTTCCCGAGAGCCGAGAGTTTTCTTTTTCGCCTTTTCTTCCCGGTTAGACCGTGGTTGATGTGCGGTGGAGGAGCTGGAGCACCTTTGGTCTCTCGGGGCGGGGGGGAGTCCTTTCCCTCCCTGCCGTTCCCCCCCCGTTCCCGCCTGCTCCCGCCACCAGGTGAGCTCCCCCGCCACCCACAGCGGCACATGCATCCCTCTGGGCATGTTTTTAGCCCCGCGTTCAAAACCTGTTAGCAAAACAGCTTAGTTTTTTTAATTCCTGGGAACATGCCTAGAGCTCTGCATCTGACAGACCAAAGTCTCCAGAAGGGCGTAGCTGCAGTGTTTAGACAGGAAGAAGGGTATGGATGCTGCGTAGCCTGATGAACTACTGGAAGCGTTAAAATGTTTTCATCAAGTAAGTTTTCAGTGATTGTGCTGCGTTAGTTATTCTGTGTAACTTTAAAGCAGGAGTTATTAAATTTAATAAACATGAGTTAGTGTTAAGACTATAAAAAGTGTCAAATGAAACCAGGTGTATTTAAATAACAATTCATTATCATTTCCAGAAAAGAGGATAGACATTATAAGCAAGTGTCCTTCATATCCCTCCCACTCCTAGAAAAAAAAACAAACAGCAAATGAACAACAGTAATGATGCTGGAGTTGAGGATAGCGGCAACCCCAAATCCACATCTCCTTTTAGTTCATTGTCCTGCCTATAATGCTGTTAAAAACATCACGCTTGGGAGATCATGAAATACGCATTCCTCTCTCTCCAAGCTTGTGTGGTTGTTGATTCACTTCTTTAGAGCAAGTGTCTTGTGTTTGGAAGATCAACGGGAAAAATGTAATTCATCATTATCCCAGCTTAGAAGAGGTATTTCTCTGACTATTACTCCACTTGAGAATTGGAAGAGGTAAAAGACGGAAGAGCTTCTAAGAAGATAGCATGATCCAGTTCTCAGAATAACTTTTGACATGCAAATTATCCACTGCATGCATAAACAGTTTGTTACTTAATACTATTTTACATAATTAAAGCAGCAGCATGGAACATGGTTAAAATTGTAGTTCCTAGGTAACTTATGGTTCCATTCCACATTTCTCTAGCAGAATTTGCTGTTAGATCAATAAGTTTTGGGTGCCAGTCCACATGGTAAAGCAGCAGTTTTTCTACTTTTATTAAAAAATAGCGCTCTCTCTCTCTCTCTCTCTCTCTCACTGCTGGAGGACTGCTTTTAAACTATGAACTCCTGAAATTCTGCTGGCACTTTCCTGTATTACTCAGAGCAAAGGATTAAAATAAAAATTATCTGAGTTGCCAGTAAGAGGTCTTTAAGGCCTTTTGTTGGGCGTTCCATCACAGGCTGGTATTTCTTGAGATGTGGTGGTCACTGGAGGAATATATCCACTGGAACGCTTTTACTTTGGTGCTGGACTGCTTAGTATATCCATTCTGTAAATAAACATTGCCCTTCTATTGCCTGTCCTGAATACCTGTAACCTGAGTAATGCTAACCTGTGCTCTCCTAGACAGAATCTGAACCTCTTTTTCTTCTCTCCGATACAGAGGCTCTCACTCATGCAGAAACATGAAAAGTTATTGGTATTTGGTAGAAGTGAATAGAAATCTTCTTTTTTTGCATGTCAGTTGAGATTTCTAACCACTTCTAAAATGTATTGCTAGTTCATACTTAGGTAGAATGCCTGTGGAAGGTCTTGCAAACTCCCAGGTTAAGGTTAAGCCACTGCTTTCACAGAAGAGCCTTCCAGGGCTCCAGGGAGAAAGCACCTTCAGTCCCTAGACGGTTCTGAAGTGGTGGGAAAATAATGTGCTACTGATGGATTTGGAGTGAAACACTTTCAGTCTTCATTAACTTAATGGAAAGTTATCACAGCTGGGAGCCCAAATATCTTGCTGAAGAATCAGGAATCTTTTATTCTTTTCCCTGTTTCTGAAAACTTGAAGAAATGGAACAGGCCGTACTAGGTAACAGCAAAGGATGGTAGTAAATATGTATCTTCACCTTATTGTTGTGCAAATAAATTCCATAATGCATGATAGTAATAAACACTGTTTATGGGAGTTTCATTATCTTATTGGCATCAGTGGAAAGTTCTGCAGTAAAAATTTTGTACTCAGGAAAAAATACAAACTCCCTTACAGTTTCTTGTCATAAGAAGTAATGGGTATTCTGCAGGCCAAATTATTTATTTGTTTTTATCTATATTATTGTTT